CCGTCTTTGTTTGTCTCGCTACAAAAGCTATTGATTTGGAAATGGTTACTCGTCTAACCAAAGAAGCATGCATCCTTTCATTGAAACGATTTACTGCACGCCGTGGAAAAACTGAGAAGATCTTAAGTGACAATGGAAGCAATTTTATCGGGGCTCGAAATGATCTGATGAAAATCAAGGAACTGCTCGACAAAAATGGAACGGACAAATCAGTTGTTAGTTTCGTCAATAGCCAAGGAACTGAATGGGTCACCATCCCTCCTCGTGCTCCTCACTTCGGAGGACTCTGGGAAGCAGCTGTAAAAAGTATGAAGAGACATATGCGAAAAGTTATAGGACTGCAACGTCTCAGTTTTGAAGAATTTCTTACAATTCTTAATCAAATTGAAGCTGTCTTAAACTCACGACCATTGTATCCAATGTCAAGTGATCCTAACGACCCAACTCCGCTGACACCCGCTCCTTTTCTGATAGAGGAATCATTGCTAACTCTTCCCTCTGCTGACATCCAAGTTTCAACCAATGTACGATATCGACTATTACAGAATATGATCAAGGATTTCTGGAAAGTTTGGAAAAGGGATTACCTCATAACGCTACAAATACGGAAAAAATGGTTCACGGATGGCCCAGAATTTAAAGTTGGCAACCTAGTCCTACTTGCCGAAGACATGAACGACCGCTAGAATGGAAAACTGGACGAATCATAGAAGTTTATCCTGGAAATGACTCGATTGTTCGAGTGGTAAAAGTGAAGACCACAACTGGTGAATACATACGCCCAGTCGCGAAGCTGTGGAAGCTACCAGTATCGCAACCAAGTCATATCCAATGTGCAGTTCATTTAAAACAAGAACTTTATAGTGCTAAAAATCGAAAAATATCCAAAATGTGCAGTTTTCAAATTTTAAGTGGTAGTACCCCCATGACCCTTTTGAAAGTAGGAACCTAAATTACCCCCTATGCAATGCATTATAGTCTGAATTGTTCATATTGACCACTTCCATGTAAATTCCCAATGTTGTATGTTCATAAAAGTCGAAAATGATGTAAATTTTCATCAATTTTTGTGCAAAATCGTGCATTAAAATTCGTTTGAGGTTGTACCCTCATGACCCAAAATGTAATTATTGTCTGAAAACAGCTAGGATACGCCTACGCTGCTGTCTTGAATGTAACAATAGGCTCTCTGATCACGTCAAACTGTTAAAATGTTATATTTGCCTTTAAATTATATTCAAAGATGTATTGTAATGATTTACAACCATTAATTCGCATAAAATGTTTTTTTTTATGTACACAAACTTTCGCTCATGACTCGTACCGTTAATACTTCACTTATATACTCCTTACTTATGGTGCAGTAATATTTAGTTCATTTATTGAATAATTGTTTACATATTTACCGTTGAACAGTCATTCGCTGTCATGCGATTCGCTGTCATCTGGTCCTCTTCGCTTGTTGACCCTGCAGTGTTGCTGGCAGCGCTTCCACGCAGATGCTACCGAGAAAATTCGAGTTTGCATCTCCGCATAGTACATGCAGCAGACCCTCTCTTCCTCGCAGAGAGTCAGAACTGCATCGCTCCACGCATATGGAAGATACAAACTTTTCCCCTTAAGAACACCTTAGCGGACCAGTTTCTTCTGCTGAGAACCAAGGTTCCTCAGATACTTAGCAGCATCAGTGAACCCCATCTCCGAATCATTGCTAACGGCCAGGCGCTCAAGTTCACCAGAGATATTAACTTCAGATGTCATCAGCCACAACTTTCGGCCCCCCAGAAGACACAAAACAGCATCATCTTCCTCATCCAAGTCTTGATGGAAAGCCCGGAAGGACGAGGACTCTACAAAAATACCTTGGAGAAGAGAAGAAAAGACCTGCTTCGACCATCTGGTCTGACCTCCAGACATGACGCCAATAACACCCTTAGCTGTCACACTAGGAGTCTCTCGACAGTTAACTCCAACCTCCCAGCCAGTGCACAATGACCCTTCTACGCTGAGGTCAATAATACGTTTAAGACCTCTAAGTTGCTTCTAAAACAAAACAAACAATTGATGCACATCCGCTATACTCTACTACTATGATACAATGGAATAAATGCTACTCACTGTCTCAGCTTTCGGAAACCGCAGAACTGCCCTATCCACGATTGCAGCTTCCTTCCTTGAAGACTGGATCTCATCCAACGACTTTACAGGAATCGGAGTGAAACCCAGATCTCCTCTGTTCACTGCATCGAAGAAACCCTGTAGGTCCTCCCCGTCGACAGTGCCCCGTCTACTGGACCTTCGCACCTCGCCATGTGGAGGCAGACGTGGTGCTCTACCCGACTCCGCCCTACTCTTCCTCTCCTTCGTCTCATACACTGTAAATGGGTAGTCATATCCAGACATAAAACGATCTGAAAATTGAAGACACTTCAAGGGAGGCGGAATGTTGAAGCCTAAAAAAGACATCTCAGCTTTCTACTTGAACTAAATCTACGATTGAACTGATTTACTTATTTAAAACCGCATTTAACAAAAATCAATTGACTTCTATCTATAACTCATGAAATAATTTACACTCTTTGCGAATCACTAGTTTTATTCAGTCGGATTGGTGATTTTTCGTTTCCCAACTTTTGCTGCACAACAGCTTTATTAATGAGGATTCAGGAGGATGCTTATTTTCGTAATAGTTTCATGAGTAAAATGGGCCAAGAGCAAGTTCAACTGACCTACTTGTTAGTTGGTTCATTCAGCTTTAGGAGGGTAATGGCATTGACTGTACCCGACGAATGTAAAAGATAAGTTAGTCAGGGATGGCACGTTTTAAAACAAGGTGTTTTAAAACAGTTTAAATAGACTTTTCAAAACAAGGCCATTTTGCTCTGTAAAATGACAGGACGGTAACATCTTCTAACAAGTGAGACACTATACAGTTGTTTATTTTGGCCGGCAGATGTACGAATTAGCTACTGTTTGGTAGAAAAAGTTGGGATCAATATTAATAATCTATTCAAAAACGTTTTCGGCTTTTGCGCCATCAGTCTAAAAACAGTACTACATAAAAAATCATACCTCATGGTTGGTATGTCAGAACTGACATAAAACAACAGAAACACTAGCGAGAAAACGCTAGTGTTACTTTTTTGTGCATCCGATGTTGGGGGTCAAAAAGTGATCCAATCCGCAATGAAGAAAACCATGGTATTGCTCTTTGAAAACTGCCCTAAATTGCGAAATGCATATGTTTCATTATTCAGCTGGCAAAGATTTTCCTTTGGGTTGACTAAGTTAGGAGTTGACTGAGTGAGAGTAGTCATATTGTAATTGTCTCAACTGAGGTATAAAGCGCAGCTATTCTCTCAAGCGATGTAGCGAGTATAGTGTTATACTCGGAATCCTTTTTTTCGCTAACCCAAATCGGAACAAAGTGTTCACTTTTGCTGTATAGTATGTGTTCCATATCCACTTTCTTAGTGGCTTGTGTTTTAATATTTATCAGAGCACAGGACGTAGGACTCTAGGTCGGCGGTTTGTTTTTGGATCGGAGAAAGTTTTTTGAAGACTTATTTTTGCTTGTATTTTTTGCCTTCAAGAGCTGTTTTTGACGTTTCCTCGCTAGGTTGCGAAGTGTAACTTAGCCTCTTTGTAAAAAGCTCAAGTCTTCTTCTTCGGAGGGTTCCTCAAAAGAAAAGGGACTTGAAAGTTCTGGAAGTTTTTTTCGGCGTTTCTTTAAAAAGTGAGTACTTTTGATACAACCAGAATAGAAAATGAGAATCAATCCAGACATTGAAATTATCTTAGTTTTCAAGTTTAAAGTTCCAGATTGAAATTTGTTCTCAAAACTTTCACTTGATCGAGTCCAGAAATATATCATCTGAACTTTTCTTTGTTTTCCGCAATTACACAAAGCGATTTCAATATTATTTTTAGCCAATCATCTGAATATTTTATGGCAAAAAATACTGGGCTATAGCTGCTCAGACTTATTGCATTTGCGATAGCAAGTAAATTGCAACTGGGTTCTAGATTTTTTTCACGTAAATAGTTTTGTTCTCAGAACTCACTGGACTCATGTCCTGAAAGCCTCTCTTAGCAACAAATCTGAAACAGACTTGCTGTGCATGTTAGAATTTAAAATATCTGTTCTTTTAGAAATTTGCTTTTTGTGTATGTTGGTTGTAATTTGAAAAAAAGCGATGTTTTTTCAAGTTTTTTTTTCTTTTTTTCCAGTTTGATTAGTTTCGGCTCATAATATCTTGGCTTAGTGGCCTCACATTGCGTCATTTGACGAACGAAATAAGTTTTTGTGTGTTTTTGTTTTGAGTACTTTTTCAGTTAGTAGGGTTTCTGCTACGGTCTTTTTGGCTTTATTACTGCTTGATACGTTCTTGCGATGATATTTTGATATTTTAACATTGTGTTGTCTTGGCATGTTTTTGTTTCAAAACTAGCTTTATTCATTTTGATTGATTAGTTTTTTCGACATTTTCGGTTTTTTTTCTCAATTTTCTCCAGTTTAGATTAGATGCCTTCTTGTTTTGTGTAGCTCCGCTTCGCCTCTGTGTTTTTAATGGAGCTTAATTGTATAAACAGAAATGGTACCAATAAAAGTGATCGTGAAAATAAGTGAGGTGTTTAAATCGTCAAACGGTACGCTTTGCCGGATGTAATTGGAGGGGCGGGGTGCTTTTTACACGAGCTCGAATTGGAACCGTCTGCAAAAATGGTCTGCGTCTTGAGTTTGTTAGGGTAAAGTGGGTTGTCGACTTTCTCGGTTATTCAACTGGCTTCTTAAATTATTACTGGATGCATCATTTGAAGCCATTTACACAGCGGAGATTACAGGTTTTGGGCCATCGTAGAGAGCAGGCAATCGTGCTGCTCAAATTGAATTTGGTGATTTTAACGAACAAAGTGTTAATGAATCAAGAAAACGTCTGCTCACAATCAAGTGAAATTTTTTTTGCTCCAAGTGGTAATGTGTTTTTTTATTGTTTTAGCTGCACGAAAAAGGGAGGGACTGAGCTAACTAAAGAAATCGAACTGTTCAAAGAAGTAACAAGTGTAAGTGACCTACAGCAATCGGTGTTTGATCTGCATATTTGCTTTAGAACTCTTTTGGGCTTTTTTTTGAAGATATGGGTGGTGTTTCGCTGATATAAGTAGCGTGATTATACGTTAGTGATGTGAATTTACTTCGATATAATTTGTTAAATAACTCGTAACAATAAGAAAATATTTCTCATTTTAGACCCTCCAGTAAATTTTCGGCCTGAAAGTACCGAACTTAGACCCTCTAACTACCTAATAGCTGTGCGGGCAGGTTTGATGAAATAGCTGTATGATGTAATGGAAAGTATCCGAAAAAAAGGACATTTTGGCCGATAGTTTGGTAATTTATTTGCAATAGGAATAGGGTTCAAAAAGAGCGATGTTAGAGTTCGATCGATTGGGAGTTAATTGCAGCAATTAATTTAATTTGGCTACTATCAGTTGAATGATAGTGATCTGTAATTATTTAACTGATTAATAGATAGATTTATTTGCAATTATTGATTGACTTGTTGGTTTGATAAGGATATTAGATTTGTTTATGTTGTTCTTGTTGTGTAGGATGTGAAAGTGAGACACTCGGACAGAGACATTCTGTGTACTTTGAAGAAAGCCTCCTCTGACGACCACTCCTTCTGGCCCAGACTCACCAAACACAAAGTCAAAGTGAGTACTGAAAGGACAGGAAGGCACAGCAGTACATACGTGTTTGCTTATACGGGGGCCTTCAACAGTGCCGGAGTACAACAGTGTCGAAAAAAAAGTGTTCAACAGTGCCGAAAATCATCAATTTTTGGCACTCTTGAACACTTTTTCATTTTCGGCACTGTTGTACTGCCCCGCTTATACTTATCAATACACAGTCGAAGTTTGTGTTTTATGTTCACTGTTTAAGAATGTTCGCCAAGGTCACTGTTTACCAACCAAACTCATGTACACTTCATTTTCTCTGTGCAGCTTCTATTTCGAAATTTCAGACAGAAACTGTTATATCGGAAAGGGTTGCTAAAGATTATGGCTATCTAAATGGATTATAGTTAGATGAGTCATGGAATGTCATGATTTTTCATAGTAAAAACTGTTTCATCCTTTTGGGGGCGTAGCGGTTATAATGCGTGCCGATCAATATTTGAAACGCTGCGGGCGGCATTAGCAAATAGATGACCGCTTCCGTTCAATGCTACTTCGGTTATGTGCGGGAGGATTGTCACTTAGTCCCTTCCAAGGAAACCGTCCCTTAAAGTCTTTTTTTGCATGTTCACTTTTTAAGTGACTCTTTTCTGAGTTTTTTCAAGCCTTCTAAAAAATGTTTATAGTTTTCAACAAATTTATTGGACAACGTTTTAAAGCTATGAAAGAATCTGGCCTGAAAGCTGAAACTAATTCAAAATAGTTATGCGATTGCCTTTTTGATGGTGTTTTATGTTTTTTTTTCTACTCGA